TTGGTAAGGGTTCCCATTAGCAGTGAGCTAATAGTAATTAAGTTTTCTGGTATGTGTGCTGCCGAAGCAAGAACAATAGTTAAGTATTTTGGGAATCAAAAGTTATACATGAATTTCCCACTGTGTGGGATGGGGGTGGGTTGGTATCTCTAAACCATGCATTGTTTAAGAGTCAACTGTAGGGGCGCCTGGGTGGCGCAGTCGGTTAAGCGTCCGACTTCAGCCAGGTCACGATCTCGCGGTCCGGGAGTTCGAGCCCCGCGTCGGGCTCTGGGCTGATGGCTCAGAGCCTGGAGCCTGTTTCCGATTCTGCGTCTCCCTCTCTCTCTGCCCCTCCCCCGTTCATGCTCTGTCTCTCTCTGTCCCAAAAATAAATAAACGTTGAAAAAAAAATTAAAAAAAAAAAAAGAGTCAACTGTATACACTTTTACAACAAATAACTGGATTTAAAAGCAGTGTTCTTGCTATATACAGACACTAAGCTTTGTATAAAAAGGAGAGATTTTAATAAATCCTTTTGATTTGATTATTATGGAACATTCATTTTTCTTTTGCTGTTTCACTTCTATTTCCCTTTCCAGACTTATAAAAGCAAACTACAAGGACACAGAATGTTTTTCTTTGACCTCTCTGACTCATTTGATGATTTATGTTCCTACCTCTGCACAATAAACAATGTTAAAAATTCTAGCCCTTTTCGATGAGAGAATAATAGCTAATGATTGGGAGCTTGTAGGTTTATAAATATTGTATTTTATAACATTTCCTGTGACTTTTCATTATTAAATATTGAGAATTCCCTAAATTTGAATTTTCTGCTCAAATTTTCACATTTTTTATTTTTGGTTCTCATATGTTAGAGAGTTTAATGCTATTACTGACTTCTGTTCCATATTAACATATCTAGGTTGTTTCAGTCAGAATAGACTAAAATATCCTGGGTAGAAGACAATTCCAAATCACAGTGGCTTCACACAACAAAATTTCATTTCTCCAATTGAGTATGCATATGCAAAAATATGAATATAGGCCCATACCTCATAGTGTACCCCAAAATTAACTCAAATGAATCATATACTATGTAAGAGTTAACTTATAAAACTTCTAGAAAAAAGCCATAGTAGAAAATGTTTGTGATCTTGTGTCAGGCAAAGAGTTCTCAGATATAACATCTAAAGCATATGGCATTCAAAAAATTGCATTTAATAAAAATAAAAAATCTTTTGAGCTTTAAAAGACACCATTAAGAAAATGAAAAGACAAGCCACAGAGTGGGAGCAAATAATTTCAAATAATGTATCTGGTAAAAGACTTGTATCCAGGATATATAAAGATTTATTGTAACTTGATAATAAGAAGACAAACAGCCCGGCTAAAAAATGGGTAAAATATATGAATGTATGCATCACCAAAGATATAAGAATTGCTAGCTAATAAGCACATGAAAAGATGCTCAACATCATTAACCATAAGGGAAATAAAAATTGAAACCAAAATGAGAAACCACTTCACTCCCACTGGAGCCAATAGTTCTTTGATTCTTTGTATAAATAGAAACATGACTAAAAAAACAAGATGACATTCATTCAGCATTTAGGTAGTAGAGAAGGGACAGAGGGGGGGGCGGGGAGAGGGCTCTGAGTTCTGTTAGCAAAAAGACGACAGAGTCTGTAAAAAATGATGAAGGAATTTCGTAAGAGGCAGGAGAATTATACATTTGACTGGGGAAAGGTTTTGCTAGGTTGAAGATAGTACAATTACAGTACTTAATCTTCATTAAAAAAAAAAAAGATAGACCATATCAAGTATTAGTGAGGATGTGGAGAAGTTGAAACCTTCACACATTGTTCACATTTTGGAAAACAGTTCTGCAGTATCTTAAAAAGTTAAACACAAATGTATTATACAATGCAGCAATTCTACTTGTAGGACTCTATCCACGAAAAATAAAAACAAGTATCTACACAAAGATGTACACACATTTTCATAGCAGCATTACTCATAATAGCTAAAAATTGCAAATAATCCAAATGTGCATCTGGTGACAGTTACATTCATACCATGATCATGGTACATTCATACAATGGAGTACTATTCAGCAATACAAAGGGAAGAACCACAGACACGTGGTACAACATGCATGAACTTCAAAAACATCGTGATGAGTATAACAAGCCATATCAAAAGACTATATTGTAGGAGTCCATTTATATAAAGTGGCCAGAAAAGACGGATATATAGAGGCAGATAACATTGCCTGGGGTTCCCAGTGGGATTGATTACAAATGGGCATAATGAACATTTTGGGGGTAGTAGAAATGTTTTAAAACTGTATTGTGGTGATGGTTGCACATCTAGTTTCTGCTTATTGTAGTTATTTAGGAACCTGAAATGACAGTTGTTCTATTTCAACACATGGTTCCATCATCACCACAGCAGAGGGGAAGGGGATGTGCCTCTGCCTCTTAAAACTTTTGCCAGGAAGTGATACGGATCACTTCTCCCATTTCATTGGTAAAAGTGAGTTACATGGCCATACCTAACTTCGAGGATGCAAAAGAGTGCAATTTTGCTGTGTCTGGAAGAAAGGAGAACCAGAACAATCCTAATGACTACTAGATCATGACTATTATGTAATGACTATTACATAAATAAATAACAGCAAAAGGTACGTTGCTGTGTACTTCCGAGGTACTTGACATTTCTTTTTAAAGTCCTAATCTGGGGTACCTAGGTGGCTCAGTCAGTTAAGCATCTGACTCTTGATCTCAGCTCAGGTCATGATCTCACTGGTTGGTGAAATCAAGCCCTGGTTCAGCCTGCCTGGGATTTTCTCTCCGCCCCCCTCCCCATGTGGGCGCGCATGTGCTTGTTCTCCCTCTCTCTGTCTCTGTTTCTCCTCTTTCTCTGTCTCTCACAATAAACAAACATTTAAAAAAATGTCCCTGGGGCACCTTGGTGGCTCGTCGGTTAAGCGTCCGACTTTGGCTCAGGTCATGATCTCATGGTCTGTGAGTTCGAGCCCCGCGTCAGGCTGTGTGCTGACAGCTCAGAGCCTGGAGCCTGCTTTGGATTCTGTGTCTCCCCATCTCTTGGCCCCTCCCCTGCTCACGCTCTGTCTCTGTCTCTCAATAATAAATAAATGTTAAAAAAAATAAAAATAAAAAAATGTTCCTACCTCCTTTAAAAAAAAAAAAAGTCCTAATCCAAGACTTCTGGGGAAGATGGCAGAGGGGGATCCAAGGCTCACCTTGTCCTCACATGTAAACCTAGATAATACATCTATGTAAAGTCTTAATTTATTGCACGTTGGTTAGTTAACAGAAATTTCTAAGACCCCAGTTATAGGTGTTCTTTATATTTTACTGTGGCTCCCTTAGTGCCCTTGATTCTCTGAACCTGGTTTTGTTAAATTACATTAATGCACTTTTGTACCTGTGCATTTACATAGGAAAATGATATGCTTTTTTTTTTAATAGTCATTATTGCCTCTGTCATGTATAAAGGATTAGAATACTTTTGGCTAATGAGGCCAAAGTTAAACTAGTAAATGGGAATTTCATAGGAAGGCATAGCACATTTATAGATGGAAGAATTTTCTAATTATTAGCATTTATGTAATTGAAATGACTGCCTCTGAGCTATTGAATTACTACTGAGGATGTTAAATCTGTGACTTGTTGACCCCTTGAGAGAGACATTGGGGAGAGCTTACACCAAAATGTTCTTCAGAATTGATGTTCTATGATTAGGCTTTGCTGCACCTAATAAATACACCTGTTGGCGTAATATCTTTATCCGTTTTGGGACTGTATCTACTTTTTTAAATTCAAAACTCTTCTCAACTAAAAGTGTTAAGGGCATGGAAGAGGAATTTATGAGAGACTACTTTATAATAGAATTCAAAGAAAGTGAAACTTGAAAGGTAGCTGATAGAGGCCATAGCAAGACAGACTTAAATTCAATTAGTATTATTACTTAGGAGAAGCAAAGGTATGGAAGGTGTGGCTACTGAATGGTGTGGATAGACTAAATATTTATTAGCCAAATCCTGAGATTATGGGCTGAGGGAATCCCTTTTGAAATATGAGCAAAGTGAGTTTGGGCCCAAGAGGTACTTTTTCAGAGAGGAAAAAAAATATATTAATTTGTCCTTGTATTTTACTCCTGTTATATAATGAGACAAAAATATAAAATGATTTTTAAATTATTTTGACAAAGTTACAAAGGTACCCAGGTGGCTACTAAAGGGGAGCTAGGTTGTATGTAAGCGTAAACTCAGAGACAAGCATGCACACTTCCAGTTTGTCACTTGGGACTCCGGTCGGCAGCAGGATACTGGCAGGCTATGGATCTGCCCTAGTGTAAAAAAGTTCTGTATTCCTAAAATAAATCACTTTGTACAGGATATTCTCAGATTTCATCATAATTAGGAATGATTGCAAAGCAGATACACCGAAAAACCTTTCAACGTCTAGGAAAAAAAAAGTTCGAAAATCTTCTACACAAGGAGCTCCCGATAAGGAATTTGGGACTGTACAAGCATCGCCAAGCAAAATTTAATCCTGACATCCAGGGTTTCCTCGCTGAAGGAAATTCGAACAGCAGGCTTCAAGTGAAGATAGAAGAAACGTGTCTTATCTAAGGTAATGAAAGGAAATTGGCAAGGCAAGATGTAGAGATCACTGTCGCATTTTTCAGGGGAAAAAAAAAAACACCCACGCACGGTGAAGACTGGACACTACACTCTTCTTCATAAGAGAGGCACACTTAAGACAGCCGACGACCAGGAGCGCAGCGATCACTATTGTGTTAGCGCCGGCGGCGGAAGGACTTAGCTCCACTGCTACGTTAAAGAGTCCTTCTTTGTTCAGCTTCGGCCAGGGACGCAGGGCGCGGTGTTCTTCCGCGCTCACCGCACAGTCCCCGCCCCCTCGCAGCCCTGGAGAGCTGCCATTCGGCACCAGAGTCGCTCCGCGCTCCCAGAATGCACCGGCAGTCCGCGGGAAACCAAAATGGCGAAGGGCTGTAGCGAAGTGGTCTGTGTTTGAGGCCGGCGTAAGAAGGCTCACTCTTCTCATCCCTCGTCCCCAGGACCTCGGTTTGTGCGTGTGCATGTGCGGGGTGCCCGGTGGGGCGGGTGCCCAGTAAGTACTTGGACTCGCAGGGGAAGCGCCCAAGGGGACGTGATTGGTTGTTTTTTCCTGTATGAAGCGGTTGGCACCACTGAAGTGACCGAATGAGGTGAGAGACCTTGGCCTGGGAACCAGGCTCTTCCGGAGGAGGTGGGGGCGGGGGGAAAAGGAAGAAAGGAAGCAAGTATAAAAGGGAAAGATGGAGGATCGAGGTGGGGGTGGGAGCTCTAGTGTGTATGTGGGTCCCTTGCGTTTATGTATACGTTGAAAAGAATGGATAGAATGGAGTGTTCAGTTGGGTGTTGGAGAAAATAGGGAGCGAACAAGGCATTGGGGAAGTCGGTTGGAGGACCAAGATGAAACGTTGAGACGGGGAAGCTGTGTTTGGAGGGGAAGGAAGGAACCTGGGGGCGGGAGACGGTTGGAGGGGCAGGATGAACCTGGTGATGAGGGGGTGGGGAACCGAGGGGAGGAGCCGTTAGGAAATGCGGACTGAGGGAGACGTGGGGAGCTGAATGAAGGGGCTGCCTGGGACCTTAGGGGGCGCAAAGGGAAGTAGCAGCTTGGAACCAGAGGGTGGTGGAATTGTATGGAATTGGAGTAAGGGGCTAGAGTAAGAAGAGCAGGATGGAGTAACGAGGATAAGGAATTAAGTGGAGGCTGGAAGCAAACCCTGAAAGCTTTAAAGGGGAGAAGTAGGAGGGAAAGTGTGAGATGGGGGAAAGACACCTTATATTTGGAGCACACAATAAATTCTAACTCCTATCCCTGCTCGGAGGTAGATATGTATTATTCATGTTTACAACTGAGGTAATACGGTTCAAGGGATTTTAACTAATTTGCCAAGATTTCTTAACATATTTTGGTAGTGCCAGAACTCTTAACTCTGAGTGTGTGTTTTACAATCTGGTGCCTTTGGTTGCTAGAATTTTTCTTTGGAAGCAACCAGAGGGAACAGATGGATTTATCGGGGTGATTTGACGAACAGAGAGAGGGTTCGTGAACAATGGGGAAGGGGATATGGTATGTTATTCTGTGCTTTGAAACATTTAACTTTGGTTAAAGATAGAACCACTTACAAATTCAGATATGCAGACCTAGGTAGGCCTGTGTATAATGTAAGAAAGCTCCATGTGAGGTCAGTACAGAACTAGAAATATGTAATTAGTGCTTGATTTAATTTGACTCCAGATGCTCCGGTAGTAGTAACTTTCTCCTTCATATTGATTCCATGTGACTCTTCTGTATACCTTGCCTACAGGCTGGTTTCAATTTCCAGGTTTTCATTCTGTCTTGAGAATTCCTTTTGGGAGGGGAGCAGTGGATTGCAAAGACTGAATTTAAAAGAATTTTATGAGGATAAAGTAAAATGTACTTGCATTCTTAAGTGACCTTTTCAAAAGCTTGAAAATGCTTTACACGGAGCCATTTTGACCAAGAGCTTTAGGTGCCCAGTAGTCTTGGCAAGGAAAGAGTTGATTTTGATTTTAAATTTCTTAAAAAAAAGTATTCTGTTCTTGATATTTAGAATGTTATTCACACTCCAACCATTTGCAGTGATAGCTTGAGAAGGAATACAAAGTGAAATTTTGTTTTTGTGTTTTTAGGTCCTAAATATAAAAACATTCCAATTCACATTTTAAGTTTGCTCACCACTTTTTTGTAAAGTACTAAAAATATTCTCAAATATTTGAATTAAGAGTGCACCTGTTTCCTGATACTGCATATTCATGTTAATGGGCATTAACGGAAATCTATACCTAATCAGGATGAAATGTGTACACATTTGTAGAACGAGAAGTACAGAAATCATCTAGTTAAACTTCTTTTCTGGATGAAACAAAATATATTTAATAATCCTTTTAATTATGATGTTTGCCTCAAAGCTCAGTTTGGAAGGGAATTTTATTCTGTGTATTTTGCTATGGATCATAAATTCTTTGGTGTCATTGATTATACCTTTCATTAGATCCTTGACTGGAAGGGTAATTTGCTTTATTCGTATTTCAGCATAATCTTTATATCTGACTTTAGGAAACTGGCAGTATAGTAATAATCTATTTTAACAGATGGGGAAATTTGCCTCTGAGGAGTTGTCATGGCCAACATCTGTAGCTGGGTGGTTCTGAAAGTGAAATTTAACTGCTGTTTTAGTGTAAACTTCCATGAATGATATTCTTTGGTTGATATTTTTATGCTTTGTTTTCCTTGTTTTTCAGGATTTGGTTATTGCAGTAAAATGCAGTATAACAACCTTAAGTTGGAATGTGGAAGTTTCCCTGTGGATATTTTTTACGTATTAGTGTAGTGCTGTTCAGTAGAACTTTCTCCACTGATGGCAGTGATCTATATCTGCTCTATCCACTATGGTAGCCAATAGCCACGTGTAGATGTTGAACACTAGAAATATAACTGGTGTGACGGAATACTGAATTTATAATTTAATTCATTAAAACTAAGTTTTAAATGGCTGTATGTAGCTAGTGGCTGCTGTACTGGATAGCATAGTATTAGGAGTTACTACACCCATTTATTAGGAATTGTCTCATGTATTAACCATGAAAACCACAGGAACTCAAGAGTAAGGAACTGTTTTGAAACTTAGGATTGAAATTCTCTTTGTACATTTTTAAGATGAAGTACTTTTCATTTTTGTCTCACATGGAGTCTTCGGTCCTATCTGCCAAAGAATGAAGAAGGTAGCAACTTCTTAATTCTATTTCCTGTGTCAAACAAAGGAAATAAAAATACAGTGTACTTTATTTTTTAAAAACTTTTTATACATCAGTTAAAGCTTTTTATTAAGGAAAATTTAGAAACATACAAAGTGAACAGAATACTATAATAAACTTTTTTGTATCCATGCTTGTTTCATCTATACTTCTATGCACATTCCACTCCATAATTATTTTAAGAAGCTTTTTAAAGGTGAAATTTACATATATTAACTGTATACTTTCTAAGTAATAGCTTTATTGAGTTGTGCATATATTGTATTTATATGTATGTAATTCACATGTACCCTTTTAAGGTACAATTAACTGATTTTTCAGTATATTCATAGAGTTGTGCAGCCATCACCATTGTCTAATTTCAGAACATTTTCACCAGCCCTGAAAGGAAATGTGTAACCATAAGTAGTCACTTTCCATTATTCCCTCCTACTACCCCTGGCAACCACTAATCTATTTTGTGTGTTTATATTTTGCCTGTCCTGGACATTGCACATTAACAGAATCATATAATATGTGGCCTTTTATGTCTGGCTTCTTTCACTTAACACAGTATTTTCAGCTACAGCCATGTTGCAGCATGTATTAGTACTTCATTCCTTTTTATGGCCAAAATATATTTCATTGTATGGATATATATTCATTTTGTTAATACATCCATCAGTTGATGGACATTTGGGTTGTTTCTACTTTTTGGCTGTAGTGCTGCTACACAGTGCTGCTTTGAATGTTCATTTACAGGTTTTGTGTGGACATGTGTTTCCATTTGTCTTGGTTACAAATCCAGGGGTGGAATCGCTGGATCACCTGACACTTCCGTGTTTAACATTTTGAGAAATTGTCAAGCTGTTTTCCAAAGACCCTGCCTATACCCTTTTACAGTTTTACCAACAACTATGAGGGTTCCAGTTTCTCTACATCCTTACCAATAATTGTCTGTCTCTTTGCTTCTAACCATCCTGGTGTGTGTGCAGTGGTACCTCATTGTGGTTTTGGTATGCATTACCCTGATGACTAATGATGTTGAGCATCTTTTCCATGTAGTAATTGGCCTTTTGTACACCTTTGGAGAACTGTTGATTAAGGTCCTTTGCCCATTTAAAAAATTGGATTATTTATGTTTTCACTACTGAATTCTAAGTGTTCTTTTTTTTTTTTCAAAGTTTTTATTTATTTATGGGACAGACAGAGACAGAGCATGAACGGGGGAGGGGCAGAGAGAGAGGGAGACACAGAATCGGAAACAGGCTCCAGGCTCTGAGCCATCAGCCCAGAGCCTGATGCAGGGCTCGAACTCACGGACCGTGAGATCGTGACCTGGCTGAAGTCGGACGCTTAACCGACTGCGCCACCCAGGCGCCCCCTAAGTGTTCTTTTTGTGTTTTGGTGATAAGTCCCTTTTTGGGTGTGTGATTTGCAATTATTTTCTCCTTTTCTTTGAGTTATTCTTTCACTTGATGGTGTACTTTGAAGCACAAAAGTCTTTAGTTTTGATGAAGTCTAATTTATCCCTTTTTCTTGTTTTGCTTGTGCTTTTGATGTCATATCTAAGAAAATACTGCCTAATGCCAGTACAGTTTTGACAAATGGATATACCTGTGTAAACTATACCCTTATCAGGGTACAGAATATTTCTTTTTTCCCAGAAATCTCACATGTAGTCTTTTTTAGCTATTTTCTGCCCCAACAATTTCTGATTTTTTTTCACATTAGATTTATTTTGTCTAGAACTTCATATAAATGGAATCATTAAGTGTGCATGTCAGGGGGCGCCTGAGTGGCTCAGTTGGTTGAGTGTCTTGACTCTTGATTTGAGCTCAGGTCCTTATCCCAGGGTTGTGGGATCGAGCCCTGTGATGGGCTCTGCACTGAGTGTGGCACCTGCTTATGATTTTCTCTCTCTCTCTCTCTCTCTCTCTCTTTCTCTCTCTCCCTCGTTCTTTCTCTCCCTCCCCTTTCCTGCCCCTCCCCCGCTCATGTTTGTTCTCTTAAAAAAAATTAAAATTAAAAAGAAGTATGCATGTCAGTTAAAAATTTTTTAAAAATTTTGCTTCATAAAGCTAGAACTGGGGTCTTACCTTGAAAATTCCATTCTGCAAGGGATATTGTTATAGTAGTAGCCTAAAAATCTTGTGTTGTAACAATCCTGACCACCAGTACTTTGTGAGATAAAGTTTTTTTTCATGGCTTCCAAAGATATTTCTGGTATTTCGAATGGATAAAATTGAGTAAGGGCTTAATGATTATATACTTCCAAATAATGCCTAAGATCAGGAATTTAAAAATTAGGGGAACAGGGCAATGCGAGGGATCCTTGTGATGATGGAAATACTAGTGTCTTGACTGATTTGATGTTAATATTTTGGTTCTGATATTC